GGCCCTAAAGTAGTTCCTTTCGGGGGTTCATATTTAGAATCCTATAAGGTAATCCCCAAAAGGAACTACTATGGGGCCTATGGGTATACCCCTAAGTTGCGGATATGTTACGATCCGAAGAGAGTCATTGCAGCACACGCTTGGAGACGAGGCTTTGGGGACGGAGGTTTGGGTTTTGGGTTTCGGGCTTTTCGGCAGAAAGGACTATGACGCCACTCAAAAAACAAACATCCTCTAAACCCTGAACCCTAAACCCAAAACCTCCGTAAACACTATGTAAAACCCTAGCAGTCAAAAACCAAGAATACCCATCACCCCGAACGCCACTTTTCATAAAAAAAAAACACTAATGCCTAAACCTGAAAAGTCGTTTCTCTTGGGATGGCTTTGATCCCAGCGCGTGCTGCACATTGCAGCAAGCGCGGAGCCAACTTTGGCTGCTGACCTGAGACTTAAAAAGCAGTATTTCTTAGGGGTTCCTGTAAGGGCTTCGTAAGGGTTCTACTTTGGCCCTGAAGTGCCTATAGGGACTACTTGAAGGCCAACGTTCTGTGCTCTATTATCTGTACATGGATCCTTATACCCCCTAAACCCATATAGAACCCGTAGAGGAACCCTTGAAGGAATCCCTAAACCCTAAACCCTAAACCCTAAATCCTAAATCCCTAGACCCAAACCCTAAACCCCCTTAAGCTCTTACAGCAGGCCTCAACCCTTAAGGTTAGGACTAATGCTCTGTTTCGAGCTGAGGGCCTTCATCACTTTTAGGGCTCAGGGTTTAGAGTTTAGGGTTTAGGGTTTAGGGTTTAGGGGTTTAGGGTGGGCGTATAGGGTTTATAGGGCTTATAGGGGGTTTATAGGGCTTAGGGGGTTTATAGGGTTTATAGGGTTTCTAAATAGGGCTTGTAGGGTTTATAGGGCTTAAAGGGTTTAGGGTTCAGGGTTTGTGGTTTCGGGTCAAGGATAACTTACCTGAACCCCAGAAGACCTACGGTGCCTTTCAGCCCTAAACCCTAAACCGCACGGGCTTATACCAGAAATTCATACCCCCCCAACAAGGTAGGTTTGCAGGGCTCAATTTAGCTACTCATCAGCTTCATTGAGCCTTCACTGGGTGTTCTAGAAATTGAACTGGGATCTATGAGGTTCTGCGTTTTGCCAAGTCTTTTGCTCTGGCTCGGGTGATGGGCACTCCGCACCCCGAGCTCTACACCCCTGAAACCCTAAACCCTAAAGCCGAAACCTTAAACCCTAAACCCTACACCCTACACCCCAAACCCTACACCCTAAACCCTAAACCTAAACCCTAAACCCGAAACCTTAAACCATCTTAAACCGAAAGACGCCGTGTGCTCTTGCAGCCGGAAATCTGAGCTCCAGGGAATCCAAAGAGGCCTCGTCAGTGTTAAGCTTCGAGGCTTTGGGGTTCGGGTTCCGGCGTTCCGGGGTTTAAAGTTTAGAGGTTTATGGTTTAGGTTTTTGTTTAGGGTTTAGGGTTATAAGGTTTAGGTTTTCAGGGTTTGGGAGCTTACAGAACCCTGTGAGGGTCCACGCATCTCTTCTCTAGAGCATGTGCTCGTGCTCCGTCACGGAATTTCCCCGAACTTAGAGGGCGTAGAATCCATTGTGGGCTCCGTGTGTTGGGATAGGGCCAGGGATTAGGACGAAGTGGGGTGTAGGGTTTAGGGCCTAGGGTTTAAGGTTCAGGGTTTTAGAGGTGCTGGCGTCCTAGGGTTGTTCTTGTTCTTGACTCGTCTACTCTAAGCTTCGATAAGCACCTAGAATATGGAATGTAAAAGGACTCTATAAAATTGGCTCTGGGAATTAAAAAATGGGGGGTTAAAGTTGGGTATGAGAGAACTCATCTGCATATTTTGGGTTGGCTGCGTCTTTCTAGGGGCGACCACTGCTGAACAGCACGTGCTGGTGGACAAAGCACAAAATCAAAAGAACTCCAGCATCAACTAGTTGCAGAATGGCAACAATTTAGGTGCTTAGTGTAATGTAGGGGCCTAAACAATCACCTTATTATACTTATAGTATACTGGGTCCCCAAACCCTGTTCTAACTGTTAAGGCCCCTAGATTACTGCATCATGAACTCAAGAACTTCAACCAGCTAAACACAAAATCTAAAAAGAAAACCATGTTACCTCACACCCCGAACTCTGAACCTCGATACCTTGCAATCGGTTTAAGGTTTAGGGTTTAGGGTTTAGGACAAACCCCTAAACCCCAGCAAAGGGGCGAGAAGAAGCTCCAAACCACTCCAGTCTAGAACACGCTTCCAAATCCCTCGAAACCCTACACCGCACAACATTAAACCCGAAATTATAAACCCTAAACCTCGAAACGCTAACCCGGAAAGCCTAGAGCCTACCTGTACCCTCAAACCCTTTGAAATAGTAGGTTATAACCCCTTAATTATAGGGTCTAACCCTTACCCATAGGCCCTAAAGTAGTTCCTTTTTGGGGGTTACCTTATAGGATTCTAAATATGAGCCCTAAAAAAGGAACTACTTTAGGGCCTATGATCCCTAAGCCCTAAACCCTAAACCCTAAATCCCAAATCCCTAAACCCCCAAAACCCTAAACCCTAAACCCTAAACACTATGGGTAATGCCCAGGTATAAATCCCAAAGCAGCGGCAGACCTCCACGGCTGCTACGTCCGGGTCAGTTCCGACCTCGAACATTAGCATGGCGAGCTCATGGGCTACACTTGGGGTTTTTGGGGTGTTGGGTCGAGGGCCTATGTAGGGTAGAATAAGGGTTCAGGGTTTAGGGGTGTAGAGATTTAGGCTTTAGGGTCTCGGGGGTTTTGGGTTGCTTTTCTGTCTGGTGCTTAGTAGGGAATGGGGGAATGGATCCCTATGATAGTCCGTTATAAGGTCCCTTATAGTAGTCCCTATAACCCATTCCTCCATTCCCTACTAAGCACCAGACAGTTTGGGGGGTCTTGGGTTGAGGGCCTATGCAGGTATGCAGGGTAGAATAAGGGTTCAGAGTTTAGGGGTTTCGAGTTTAGGGCTTGCATGGGGTTTGGGGTTTAGGGGTTTAGGGGTGCAGCCTTCAGGGCTTGGGGGTTTAGGGTTAGGGGTGTAGGGTTTGTGGTTGCCTGCCTCGAAAATTTCTGAGTCCATCAGCGATCATGCAACTTGCTTCGCAGGCTCCATCTTCAAACCAGGGCTCCAGCGACCCGGTTCTTGAAAGGTACTTCTGTAATAAACCTACGAGCCCTACACCCTAAACCCTGCCTGAACCTCCGAAGAGTAAGTAAAATAATGGTTTAGGGTTTAGGGTTTAGGGTTTAGGGTTTAGGGCCCTAAACCCTAAACCCTAAACCCTAAACCCTAAACCGTTTCCACAAGCTTTTGGGGTCCCCGTTTGCTCGACGCGGAGCACCCCAAAACCCTTGCGAGCCGAATTCGGCCCTATCGAAAGAGCCGACTTAGACATGCAGCAGCTAACGGGGTGACGGGGTTCATATGAACCTTATAAACCCTAAACCCTGAAATCTCAAACCCTTAACCCTAAACCTTAAACCCTAAGGGGTTCATGTAACATTGACCCTAAACCCTAAACCCTAAGGGGTTCATGTATACGTCTAAGGGAGAGCATTCCACTATTTCGGAACCTTGCCTCCCAAACCCCAGGATCCCACACTAAGCCCCAGCTGGGGATGGGTTTAGGGTTTAGGGTTTAGGGTTGAGGGTTGAGGGTTTAGGGTATAAGCCCCAGCTGGGGATCCCAAAACCTACTTCTGCTTTAGGGCTATGCCCTCTAACTAAGGGGTCATAGCACACTAAACCCTAGCTGGGGATCCAAAAACCTACTGCTTTCAGGGTTATTTAGGGTTTAGGGGTTTAGGCCTTTGGGGGTTTGGGGTTTAGGGTTTAGGTTATACCCTCTAACTAAGGGGTCATAACCCACTATTTTGTAGGGTTTCGGGATACAGGTATACGGTAAACTTTACAGACACCCGATATTATTCATGTAATATGACAGGACATGCTCGTAGAAGTATTCTTCGGAGCCGTTATGGAACAGTATTGGTAACTGATTATGCAAGCCTTCTACATCAGAACGTAGAAAAAATATGCATTGCGCCCCTCCCCCCCGAACCCAAAACCCCAAAACCCTAAACCCCTAAACCCGTCCTCTTCCAGAAGCGCCATTGTCTGCTGCCACTGTGAAGCCTTCGGAGTCGATACCATTACACAGTTACCACCTAGTCATCAAGGGGTTTGGGGTTCAACTAGGGGGTTTAGGGTTGATTTATGTTGGGGGTTTAGGGTTTAATTAGAGGTTTGGGATGTAATTAAGGGGTTTATAGGGTTTCATTAGGGGGTTTAGGGTTTCGGGTTGAGGACATGATCTTTAAGATCCTTATCGTCACAATCCGACCATGAAGGTGTACAACAGTAGGTTCCAATACTCTCTGTAAGCCGCATGCTCACTACATGATCGTGAGATTCGCTGCGACCGTTGTCAGTATGAACATCGCACCACCACGGGTGGTAGGTGGGATGCTGTTTACCAGGAAACTGCGTATCTTGAATGTTTCAGTGTGGCGAATACGTAATTTATTTCCCTGTTTGTGTCTGTATTATTTTCAGACTGGTACCTGCTTGATTTGCCCAGACGTCCGATGATAGCGATGCGAGAACGATGGCGCAACTGACTACGACGACAAGGGTGATGATGAGGACCGTAATGAAGACGACTGCAACACTTGAGAGCCACAGGGACGCTACTAACCTGAACTGCCTGCCTGCGCCGTCGTGGACATGACGGCACCCAAGATCAATGTTGCATCATGGCCTGCAGCAAAACGTCGGCAATCACAACTGCGAAGAAGTGACATGTTGTATGACCTGGGGTCTGCATTGGCCTTAAGCTTCTAGGGAGTTGCCTCTCCAAATGCCTCTGCAGTGCCTGCAAGAGCGGCTGCATGATGCAGCTTTCGACAACCGCTTGTCACAAACAATCGCATCGACAACACTTCACCAAAGTAGTGCTTTGGCGTCAGTAAAAGCAACAAAGTGGGAACATAAACCAACACTCCTGAACCCTTAACCAGTGAACCTGAAACCTTAGACCCCAAACCTTGCAGGGAACAGTGCCTGGAACCTGCGCGGCATGCAGCCAGTCCACTGTTTGCTGCCACCGGGCTGCCCTACCGACGGAAGACACCTGAGTTGGCTTCCTCTAGAGCCCTTAATAACAGATCATAATAACATCCTTTGTGGGTTTTAAACTGCTGCATATACTTATATTTGGTACTGTCAGGGGATCATCTCGCTAAGTCTTCCGAACCCGCTATTACGGCTTGCAAATCGGAGGGGCTAGGGGTTTAGGGTTGCGGCTTGCAGCCCAAGTGTGTTGTTGTCCTTCTTGCCATGGTAATCGTTTTCATGTTTCTCTTAAAGGGTTGGGAGCTTAGCCTACCCGAAGGGTCTCACTATCCAAATAATAGGGCTTTAGGGTTTAGGGTTTAGGGTTTAGGGGTTTAGGGTTTAGGGTTTAGGGTTTAGGGGTTTAGGGGTTCAGGGTTTAGGGTTTAGGGTTTAGGGTTTAGGGTTTAGGCCAACGTCCTACTGTTCATGTCGGTCGCAGTCTGGGCTTAGGGATCGCCCGCACCAAGCTAGTCTCACGGACCAGCTCCTACTTCGCAACCTCGATGCCAGCATCTGAAATTCACCGATGCTTTCCGACCAGCCCACTCCCTAAACCTTAGCTCTAAACCCTTACCTAGAGGGTGAAAAGAAAACGAGCTCGACACAGAGCATCGCCCCTTAAACCTTAGACCCGCATGCCCCAAAACCCCTAAACCCCAAGCCCAGAACCCTAGACCGTAAACCTAAAACCTAAACCCTGGACCAAACACCGTAAACCCAGAACCTAAAACCCTAAGCCCAAAACCCAAGACCCCTAAACCCTAAACCCCTGAACCCAAAGCCCAAAATCCCTAAACAGAGCCCTTAAACCCCTTAACCCTAAGCCCAGAACCCCTAAAACGTAACCCTAAACCCTAAGCCCAAAACCCCTAAACCCAAACCCCTAAACCCAAACCCCTAAACCCTAACCCCTAAACCCTAACCCCTAAACCCCAAACCCTAAACCCCTAAAGCCCCAACCCCAGAACCCCGAACGCCTGCGGTACCCTCGACCCCGGATCCTCCACCTCTCAGACCCGAAGCGCCCTAAAACCTGACCCTGGAGGGTTTAGGGTTTGGGTTTAGGGTTTAGGGTTTAGGGTTTCAGGGTTTAGGGTTTAGGGTTTAGGGTTTAGGGTTTAGGGTTTAGGGCTTGGGTTAAGGGATTAGGGTTAGGGCTAAAAGGTGAGGGTTTAGAGGTTCAGGGTTTAGGCTT